ACCCACAGACACGCCACCGCTGCAGGCACGGCCCCGCCCCACGCCCAGCAGCCCCCACTGTACCTGGCACCCACACACAGAACACCCGGCATACACGGCACCCACCCGCACAGCCCCCCGCATCGTCCACGGCACCCACAGGCACAGCCCCACCGTACGCACGGCACCCGTGGCGTGCACGGCACCCACAGAACTGCTGCAGGCGCAGTACCCACGGCGTGCACGGCACCCACTTGCAGGCACGGCACCCGCTGCAGACATAGGCCCCGCAGCAGGCACAGCACCCACAGTATGCGCAGCACCCATGGCATGCACCACCCCACGTCCACAGCACCCACGTGCCCCACGGCGTGCACAGCCCTGTTGCAGATGCGGCGCCGTGCTCAGCACCCACGTTTGCACCCACCTCCAGCTTGGCGAACTTCTCGGCCTTGTAGCAGGCGTACTCGGCGTTGATGAGCTTCGTCAGCAGGAACTCCTGGAACTCAGGGCCCTGTGGGGGCGAGGGGCAACCCTGGGTGGGTGCCACCCTGGGGACCCCCCCCCCCCCTCACCGACAGCACCCATGGGTGCTCACCTTCCTGAAGACGGCAGGGTCGGGCAGTGGCGGGCCGAAGAAGGGCACGTCGTCACGGGCAGTGACGGAGACCTGTGGTGGGTGGGTGGGTGGGACGGGGCACCCCACTGCCCCCAGCACCCCGTAGGGATGGGGAAACTGAGGCATGGGCTGGTACCTTGTAGAGGGTCCCCTGGGAGGCGCCCTGCTCCAGCTGCACCACCACGAAGGCGTGGAGGAAGTTGGAGGCGATCATGTCGGGGACGAAGGGGGTGTTCTCATCCTGGAAGACGATGGCCACGATGTCATTGCCGATGTGACGCTTCCGCTGCAGCTGTGGGGATGGGGGGGACACGGGGAACGGGGGGGTGGTCACACCGGGGGGGCAAAAGGAATTGCAGACCCTGTGCCCCATAGGTCCCCCTGGAGCTTTTGCATCCCATAGACGACCTCCAGCACCCATGGGGTGTGCTGCTAGCCCTTGTGTCCCACAGATGCTCCCCAGCACCCATGGGTGCCCCAGG